GAGTCAGTTCAGTTTTCTTAATAGTTATATGGAGTTACTAAAATGAACTATTTCACATTGTGTGGACTGTACCACTTTGCATTTGTTGAGCAATTACTCCATTTCATCTAAATTTATCGACTGTGTTTAGAATTGCTGTGGCATTCCCGTATAAGCCTTTTGTTATCTGTACAGCCTGCAGGGATGTGTCCTGTTTCATGGCTGGTAATTTGTGTTGTCTCTTTTCTTTTGTTAGTCTTGTCAGAAGTTTATCAATTTGGTCTATCTTTTCAAATAGCTAGCTTTTGTTTCATTGATTTTCTCTACTGTTTTTCTGTTTTCAATTTCCTTCATCTGTGTTCCTTACTTTTCCTTCCTTCTGTTTACTTTGCTCTTGTAGTTTCTTGAGGTGGGAATTAATTTTAGATTTTCTGTTTTTCTACACAAGCATTTAGTGCCATAAATTTCCCTTTCTGCACTAGGTGTATACACATTTAGGTTTATTCTTGGCAGACTGACCCTTTTATTATCATGCAATGCCTTTAGTAATTTCATTTGCTCTGAAGCCTATTTTATTTAATATTAATATTGCCAGTGCTGCTTTCTTCTCATTAACGTTTCCATTCTTTTACTTTCACTATGACTATATTGTTACATTTTTTAAAGAGTTTTTTATAACAGCACAAAGTAAGGGATTTCTAAAAAATATACTCTTAAACACTCTTTTGATTGGTGTCCCGCTTAATTTCCATCTAATGTAATTAATGGTATGTTACAGTTATGCCTGCCCTATATTTTTTTTAAAGAGACAGAGTCTCACTTTATCACTTCTGGTAGAGTGCCATGGCGTTGCAGCTCACAGCAACCTCTAACTCCTAGGCTTAAGCGATTATTTTGCCTCAGCCTCCCGAGTAGTTGGGACTATAGGTCCCACAACCCCCAGCTATTTTTTGGTTGCAGTTTGGCCTGGGCTGGCTCGAACCCGCCACCCTCGGTATATGGGGCTGGCGCCCTACCCACTGAGCCACAGGCACCACCCTGTGCCTGCCTTTCTATGACTCATCATTACCCTCCTGTTTGTAATTATCTTAAATATTTATTCTATATTCATGGAGAACCATAGCAGACAGTGTTATAAACTCTGCTTCAACTGTCAAATATAAAAAATGGTAAGAGAAGGAAAATGTACTGTAAGTACTCATATTTTACG